GCCTGCCAGGCTGCTGTAGTTGTCATACTGGCTCTGCTGGGGGCTAGGGCTCCGACCAAAGTACTCAAGGAGGGCCTTCAGCCTGAATTAATTGGTCTATATCAAGTCAGAGGTTAGAATCTGATGATTTGTCGCTTATTTAGCACTTAGGTCTTCAGACATGCCCAGCAGTGTAGTGCAATTCATTGGCACCAGCAGATTTCTAGGAAAAGTACTGAGTTTTATTTCTAAAACTAAGTGGCTTTGGACTTTTTGCACTTTAAAGATATTCTTGACAATAAACTTAGGTAGTTACTGTGTGGACAAACAAGGAGGAGAACCTTTTAGGTGACTCTGCAGCATGGGGATAGTTATTCTGTAAACAGGGCTTTGAAAAGTGTTTGATTTAATGTCGTAGAAAGGCCTAGGTTGGAAGGGAACTTAGAGATCATCTAATCCAAGCCCCTGCCATGGGCAGGGATGCCCCTCACCTAGCCCAGGTTGCTCAAGGCCTCATCCAACCTGGCCCTAAACATCTCCAGGGAGAGGGCAGCCACAGCTTCTTTAGACAATTTATTCCAAAGTCTTGCCACCCTCAGGCTGAAGGATTTTTCCTAAAATCCAATGTAAACCTGCTCTCCTTTGACTTAAATCTATTTCCCCTTGTCCTGTCAGTGGACACTCTTGTGCCTCCCTGTAGGTTCCCTTCAGGTATTGGATTTTATGTGTATTACAGATAGTTTTTGGAGGGAAAAAAAGTGAAAACCAATTCTTCCTCGTCCATTCTGACACATCTTACTGACGTGTCAAGATACTTTTGACCACTGAATAGGAGCTGGAAGAAGCGTAACACCAGGTATATTGAATGAGCATGTGCTCGCACTGAGGATGTTGCTGCAGAGAGGATTCTCGTTCTGTATGTGCTTTTCCTCCCCCTCCAGGCTTTTCCTACTGTCAGGATGAGTGACTGCAGCGAAGTTGCTGTTTTTCAATCGTTTGGCAGATACTGCACGCGCACGGTCTTTCTCCAACCAAAGAGTTGTAACCTCATAGCTGATGTGACACCCTAGTTTCCTAAGTGGAGCGAGCGTTGTGGAGTATCTGCCTTCTCTTTCTTACAGCCCTTTGTTTTAGTTTAATTGTAGAACCGATGGAAAATTGGTTGCAACTGATGCTGAACTGGGATCCACAACAGAGGGGTGGAGGTTTAGATCCTGAGAGCGGTCACCCAAACTGTTTCCTAATAATGGATCGCATCCTGAATTTGAAGGTGAGTGAGGGTTGTTACTGAGTGTAAAAGCTTACTGAAAGCATCCCAGAGGACACAAAGTGCATTTGGTGGAGCAAAGCTATAATCTTGGCATCGTCATGAGCACTGCTTTTCTTGGTATCAGGAAGGGAGTGTATGTACAGCCTGTCCGGTACCTACCTGAAGGCAAAATATCACCAGCGATACAGGAGTAATTTTCAGTACTTCTTACCAGCACTTTCTGATACCTTCCCCAATAAATGTAGCAAGTCTTCATGTTCAGATTATTCCTAGTATCCTTTTTGTGCGCTCAGCAAACACCTGCTAAAACTGTTCTACCTGCACTTCAGCCTCTAGAAAGTAAATTCAGCCGTGCGTGTGATAAATATGCAGACAAAAACCAATTTGAAATGAATGGTTGAGATCTCATCAGCGTCTAGACGATATATAACAATTAGGGCACATTCAGGAGCTTCCTCTGTGTTTAAGATACTGTGAAAACATCAGCTTTTTGAGCCATTTGAGGCAATAGCAAAATATATATTATAATTAATTCAAAGCGTAAATTTAAACCCCCTAGGTGCTTACATTCCAACTAGGCACCATAGCCGGAAAAAACAGACAGATGCAGGAATTTTTTATATTTCAATAATTAGGTGCTCTCTAAATTCCACGATGCTAGGAAGAAAATTGAAAAAAAAAAAATCTTTCCTTTCGTGCTCTACTTACATAAGTCTTTTGACTCTAATTCTGTAAGTTAACTTACCTTCTGTGATGCCTGATCCCTGCCCATGACAGGGAGGTTGGATTAAATGATCTCTAAGGTCCCTTCCAGCCTAGGCCACTCTAGGATTCTGTGGTATTAACCTCTAGCTTTACGCTTGGAGTAGAACAGTGACCAGATATTCCTATTTGTCATCTCAGAAAGGATTCACCAAGATCAAATAATGGTTTAATATTTGCTAATATTCAATTTTCCTGAACTCCACTACTGATACTGTGACTTCCAGGTCCATGTACTACAGTAGTAACTGTAGTAGAACAGATATTACAGTCATCTGACTCCTCCCCTTCTATTAATTATTGGAGCTTTGCTGAAGTAAAACTAGCTGAGGCAAGCGTATATAGAAACCAGAGGGTAATTTTGTCTGATCTGGAAGGATTCCAGAGGAATTAAAGCCCAAGATGCAAAATGCTGTGCTCATAATTGGAACGTAGCAAACTTATCATGGTGTAGTTTGGTTCCTACAGTCTCTGCCCAGATATGGTAAAACTATAGAGGGGGCTGTAAGAGTGGTAAGAAGCCAAATGGTGGTATGTAATGACTTTTTTTGTAAGGAGGGATTAAAGGAAATGGAACTCCTTTTCTTGGAAGCGGCACTGGCCAGCATCAGAGACAGCAAGGCCCAAGATGGTCTTTTATGCTAGCTTGTCACTATTTTGATATAATTAAGCTGCAGCATGGCTTGTGAAGGCTATTAGTATATTTGATTGTAATTTTCTCCAACCTGAAGAGTTACAGGCCCAGGCTTTGAGTTTTACCATGTGGGGCTTTACTTTTGAATTTGATTATTGTAATTATCGTAGTCTAACATGTTAGTTGCTATATACGCCCTCCCAGGCCTTTCTCTCCTCTGCCTTTTGATAGCCAGTGACTTCCAATCAACTTGTATTCTTTTTTTACAGATAGTACACATCCTAAACATGACCTCTGCCAAGATTATTTCGTTTCTTTTGCATTCCGAGGAAAGCCTTCATTCCCTTCAGATTCGGATTGAGGTTGAGACTGGAATAAGCACTGGAAATCAGGAGCTGCTGTTGGAAACAGGGATTTGCCTGGACCCTCGAAAACCTGCTTCCCAGTGTGTTATCGATGGCGTAGTAAGAATGATTCTGTTTGTTTAATATCTTCCACATTCTCAGGGAATTTAAAATCTTAGGGAAGATAAATTGCCTTAATCTTCTTCCCCTGGGGGCAGTTAGCTCTGTAAATGTCATAACTCTTCAGATCTAGCGTTATTTCTTTTATCAGGTAATGTAAGCAGATTCCTATAGTTATACTCTGACTAAATGTTTTAATGAAGTACCTTGCTAGCAAAGGGTCCTGTATTTCTTTGGGATCTGTCAAAATGAGTTTTTTAAGGCACTCAATAAGAAGAATGTCTGTCTGCAATCGTTAGTTCATGGTGTAACCTGGACCCTCTGGGTTAGTAGGAGCTGTGTTTGGGATTTCTGATGTTTATATTCTCTTCTTTTCTCACCAGAGAGGCTGGGATAGCTACATGGTCTATTTGTTTGATAAAAGCAAAACTGTCTATGATGGACCTTTTGCTTCTCGGAGTCTGTCTGACTGTGTAAATTACATTGGTAAGTATGCTGGAGGGCAGCTGGGAACTGAAAGCCCTACTTACAAACCTCTCCATGTTATCCTGAAGGGCATTATCTTACTCCATGAGGACCATTTAAGGACCTGGAGCAGCCCAATAAAGTTTCTTGTACAGTGCTGTATCTCCATATTTTGTAAAAGTAACTGTTCAGAGAATTTATTGCCTGCTCTTTGGGAACTCTCCTCTAGAGCAATTTAAGAATTCCTTTAAGATTTTTGCCCTTGTATTAAAGATTTTGTACTAAACAGCATCCACTCCACCCTAACACCTAAACCTAAGCGCTGTAACTTAAACGGAACCACAGTGTGAAGGAAGGCTGGGAAGGTAATACGTGCAGCCTAATCTTGTAGCGTAGGAAGGGAAACTTTTGGTTGATGTCTGCATGCTGCTTGCTAGAGAGAAGACTCTGACTTGGAGGCTGTGATTTCATTTGCACAGCCTTCTGCTCTGCTAAAGGGTCTTGGCCCATCACACCCACAGAGTGCTACAGTGACAACCTGAGTGATAGCCCACATAGACATCAGGGACCTTCTTATCGTAGGGTTTAGCATCTGCAGAAGTTGTGCACCTATTCCTTCTGCCCCTAGCACGCGTGTACAGCTAGGTTTCAGCTCCTTGCAGTTCCATCTCCTGGGAGTGGGTGCTTTGGATGTTCATGAACAGTTGCCCTCCTACAGCTCTCCTAGATTTATGCTTCTTTATGGTTTAGATTTATGCTACTTTATTGATGACTCTCATTACGTGGCATCGTTGTCCTGAATCTCTTGGAGCTGAGGCGTTTTTAACAACATGTTTCTTGATATCTGGATGTCCTGACAGTCCCCTCTCTATAGGGGAACACACATAAGTCCTGCATCTTTTCCCCTATAACATCTACACCAGAAATCTGGGAGGAAATCTAAAAGATTTGTAGACATTTTTAGATGAAGCACATCAGGATAGTGACCAGTAGGTCAAAGGGCCCAAAGAAACGGGTACTCTTGTGACTCTGAGTTCACACACGAGCTGTTGCCTGGTCAGTAACAGGCTGCCAGATACCTGGGGAACTGTGACATGGAAAGCTTATATACACTTCCGCAGCATCGCGTTAAAATCAGGCAGATCTTACGTGGCTTGATCCTTCAATTTAGGCACCTGAAGCAGGAATTGGGAACGTTCTAAGCTCTGAAGTCCTTTTCTAGAGTCGGCTTTTCATTTATGTACAATTGTGTTTTCTCTTGCATTCAGTACAGGATAGCAAAATCCAACTGCCAGTTCCTCAGCTGCGCAAGGTATGGGCAGAAGCAGTTCACTATGTCATTGGGCTTAAAGAAGATTATAGCAGGCTTTTCCAGGGACAGAGAGCTGCCATGTAAGTTACTACTCCTCATTCAGAAGATTCATTATTATGCAAATACAGAGACTGTTTGCAGGGAGTTTGCGTCTCAGGAAGTTTTGGTTAGCCAAAATTTTACAGCCCTCTTCTGTTTTATACCTTTATGTCATAGAACATATTTGGACCAGGAGCTTATTCCGATCCAGGAATTTTACTGTGTAGTGCCTGATACTGTTAATAACCGGGGGGGAAAAAAGAAACTTTAATATATTCACGGACTCGCAGAATTCCTGAAGTTGGCAGGGACCCATGGAGGTGATCCAGTTGAAACCCCCTGCTCAGGGTCGCCTAGAGCTGGCTGCCCAGCACCGTGTCCCAGATGGCTTTTAAATATATATCTTAGGGCTGGAGACTCCACAACCTCTGGGCAACCAGTCACAGCACTTGGTCACCCTCACAGTAAACAGGTTTCCTGATGTTCGTAGGGAACCTCCTGTGTTTGAATATTTTGCCCGTTGCCTCTGGTCCTGTCGCTGGGTGCCACTGAAAAGAGGCTACTTCCATTCTCTTCACACCCACCCCTCAAGTATTTGTACATTTTGATACTCAGCCTTCTTCAGGCTGAACAGTCCCAGCTCTCTAAGCCTGACCTCCTGGGAGAGATGCTCCTGTCCCTTAATAATCTTCACAGCCCTTCGTTGGTGTGTCCATGTCTCTGGGGTTCTGGGGAGCCCAGCATTGGGCCCAGGTGTGACCCCCAGCAGTACTGAATAGAGGGAGAGGATCACCTCCCTCAGCCTGCTGGCAGCATTCCTCCTAATGCAGCCTGGGATGGTTGTTTCAGAAGTGGCAGGATGGGTGGAACTGTTGGTTCAGTTTATAGGGATTTGCCCCATGATTGAAGCACTGAATGGGCAGCGTCCATATATCTCAAGTGATAAAAACCCTGCCAGCGTTCGGCAGGGGCAACGTGCGCTGCAGGACCCTGTAAATGCTAAGAAATGCTCTGTACTGCGAAGACTGTTTAACTGAGCTTGACAAAAAAAAGCTTGGAAATGAGGAAGGAGTTTCTGTTTTGTTTGCTGAGGATGTGAGATGGACGCTGTGACCCCACTGAGACCCCCTATTCCAAGGATCTTACAAAACGTTTTGCTAGTTATGTCTTTCCTTCGGGTAATCATGGAATCATTAAGGTTAGAGAAGACCTCTGAGATCATCAACTGGCATATGCTGTTCTTGTTTCATTTGTTAGGCTCAGTCTTCTTCGGTATAATGCCAACCTGATCAAAATGAAAAACAATATGGTGTCAGCATCTCAGCAACTGAAAGCGAAGTTGGAATTTTTTCATCAAAGCATTCGCCTTGACCTGGAGAGATACAGTGACCAGATGGCTTATGGCATCTGTACGTATCGTGCAATACTTGCCTGGGTGTCTTGTCTGATCCTGTAAAGGATCAGACTGACTATGAAGGACTGTGGGCAAGAACTGGTATTAAAAGAAAATGAATGCAGGTGCTGCCATTGCATTCCACAGTATCGTTACTGGTATGTTTTGGCTGAGAAAACTTAACAGAAGCCAAGGCAGGAAGATAAAAAAATGATTTTGAACACAGTAACAGCAAAACAGGTGCTCAGCTGGTCCCCACTGAGAACACCAAGCTCACAAAATGGGAATATTAATAGTACTGATGATGTAAATGTGTGCTGTTTATTCATTCAGTTCTGTGTCTGGATCTTACAAATACTGTCTGGGGAAGACTGGGAAGTTTTATGCATAGTTTTAAGATATGGCTGGAAACTTGAGTCAAAAAATATGGTTGGGGTGAAGGATGATGACGAAAAACAGAAAAACTTGGTGGTTTTGGACAGTCTGTATTTAATCAAAAGTGGCAGTTCTTGAGCTTAATGGTGGAGTTTTGAAACTCAAATTCATTTCAGGCTGGTGACTGCAAACAGTGAAATCCTGCCAAAGGGTTTGGATGTGAGTTAAGGTCAATCATGGAGTTGTTAAGTTGCAAATTTGCTGTTTCTCTGTGATCTCTGGGTCATGACTCCTGCTTGGATGTTCAGCGTCATGCTCTTTGTGTTGAAATTCAACTGATGTCTGTGAAGTTCAGGTCATGCTTTATTTTTGCGTCTATAACTTTTTATAAATTAACAGCTCTCTTGTCTTAAGCTTCAGAAAAGATGCTCAAAGCCTGGAAGGAAATGGAAGAGAAGGCCTCTCAGTGTGCACAGGTAGGGCATATTAAAGAAGCTTCAGTATCGCTCTGTCAAGGACATCATACAAAATTAGTTTTAATAAGAATCATCCGTACGAAATTTAGAGCAGAGCTAAAGCCAGTTATTGCTCGTAGTAGTCCTAGTAGTTAACAGGTATTTTCACTTGAGGTTGTGGTTTACGGACAGTTGAGCTGACGTAATGGCTTTCTGTTTCTCAGAGAGTTAGTTCTGTGAGAAAGGCTGGTTGAAATCTGTCTACTGCTAGAATTCTGATGTCTATCTTCTAGGAATGAGCATTTTAATTTTACCTCCACAGAAAATCCTGAGGGGACAGAGGCCTTTTTATAGAATCCTAGCGTGGCCCAGGTTGGAAGGGACCTTAGAGATCATCTAATCCAACCTCCCTGTCACGGGCAGGGACGCCTCTCAACTAGATCAGGCTACTCAAGGCTCCGTCCAACCTGGCCTTGAACACCTCCAGGGAGGGGGCAGCCACAACGTCTCTGGGCAATTTATTCCAAAGTCTTGCCACCCTCGTACTGAAGAATTTCTTCCTAAGGTCCAATCTAAATCTGTTCTCCTTCAACTTAAACCCATTTCCCCTTGTCCTGTCAGTGGACAGTCTTGTAAAAAGTCCCTCCCCAGCCTTCCTGTAGGTTCCCTTTAGGTACTGGAACGCAATTTTTAAGAGAGAATAATTCAGGCTACAGATCTGTGCAGACTTATATAGGGAAGGAATAAGCTTTTAGATGTGAAAACTAGGCACAGAGTTAGGATGATCGTAGTTTATTGTCAAAACCTATTTTTATTTCGCTTCTGCTGGATGCACTGAGTAAAGCTTGGGAGTGAGGGGGCATTCAGAAGGAAGGCAAGGAAATATCAGCACATTATAAATGTATTTCTCAGAATAGAGATCTTTTAAAATATCTCAAAAAGTAGTTTCTTTATTGTGCTCTGTGATAGTAGTGAGGTGTAGGGGTGCCCTTGCACGTTCTGCTGACCAGGACTGTCACGTGGTTTGGGCTGATGTGTCGCATTTCTGCTCTACCCTGCAGGGAGTTCTTTTATTGGCTCTCATAGTAACACAAACCACAGCGATTCATACAGAAAAATCCTAGACACCGTTAGAAACAAAACCAATTAAATGCTGTTGCCTATTTCCTCCCCGCTATGAAGGAGCAGACTGGGTAGTTCAGGTTTGGGGATCCGTTACCTGTCTTCAACCAAGTCAAAAGGTTCTTGGAGCCTCAATTCTGCTTGCTCATCTGATGGAGACAGGGCACTTGGGATTCCCACCTGAATTCACTTCTGGTTTTGACTCTTGAAATTTTGGGATCTTGTTGCTCCTTGTTATGAAGGAACAAAGACAAAAGGGAGACTACTTCTAGCAGAAGAGCTCCAAGCTGGCACTGGCTGTTTCCACAAAATGAGGAACCTCAGCAAATACTTACCTCGCAGGCCATCAGGATTATGATCTGTCTTCAAGCTGTGCAGTCCACGTGCATAATCACGCTGTGCCCGTTTATCAGGAATGGAAAATATTTTAGTCTGTAGTACACAGTGGTCTCTCAGTCTGTCTAGCAGGGATCTTAACCCTGTCTCTTAAATTCACGGAAGTTATGCCATGTTGGGAGTCACGATGTTCCACACAATGACATTTCTTTTGATAATAGGGTTTCCTTCCCATTTTTCTCACGATATGATTCTCCTTCGACTATGTGGCATCTTCATCTTGGTTTGTTCGTTACCTGCTGTGGTGGTTTGGCCCTGGCTGGAGGCCAGGAGCTCACCAAAGCCGCTCTATCACTCCCCTTTTTTAGATGGACAGGGAAGAGGGAAGATGTAACAAGAGGCCCGTGGGTTAAGATAAAAGGCAATTTAATGCAGCAATAGCAACGGCCGCGCGCAGAAGCAAAGCAAAACAAAGATTATTCTCTACTTCCCATCAGTGGGTGATGTCCGGCCGCTGTCGCAGGAAGCAGGGCTCCAGTACGCGTAGCGGTTGCTCCAGAGGACAAACACAAACAGCGAATGCCCCCCACTTCCCTCTTCCTTCTCCCTTTTATATCTGAGCTGACATCATATGGTATGGAATACCCCTTTGGTCAGTTTGGGTCAGCTGGCCCGGCTGTATCCCCTCCCAAGATGTTGCCCACCCCCAGCCCACTGGAAAACCACAGCCTTGGTGCTGTGTGAGCCCTGCTCAGCAGTAGCCAAAACGCTGGGGCGCTATCAACACCCTTCTAGCTACCACTCCAAAGAACACAGCACTGAGAGAGCTGCTGAGGGAAGATTAACTCCACCTCAGCCTGACCCAATACACCTACAGACAACCCTTTCTGGTCAAGAGGTCACGTACAGTTTATATAGCCTCATAGCAAGTATTTCTGCAGCTTCAGCAAGCGTTATGTTCCCAAAAATGTTCAATTTTCAGGTCCTGTAGCCACAGGTAAGAAAGGAAAAGCTGAAATACATCAAAATACTTTCTCAGTCTGTTGTCCATAGCGCTAAGACCTACTGTAGTGGCCAGTACTTCCTTTAACCATGCTGAGCAACCCCAGTGTGTGTGTGGCACCGCTCCACATGCTCAGAAATTTTTGTTGGCTGCCTCACCTAACTGTGGGGGCTTGGCATAAGGTTGGGATCTTTTTATATTGCTTTGAGGAAGCTGTGACATACAAGAGAAATGTCAGAACAGCCATCCTGTAGTGGTAGAATTAAAAATCTTCGCTGCTGGGATGTGTGTAGAGTCAGAGAGAGTGTGTGTGTGTGCACACAGCATGCATCTCAAAGAGATATGATTTATGAAAAAGCTGATTTTTCTTACCTGATGTGGTTGTGAGAAATTTGGATGTAGGTGTCATCATGCACTGAGAAGATAACAACGGTAACCTCCATTATCGTAGCAGGAGTCAAGTCAAAGAGCCTTTTTCTCGTAAACTCTCCATTACCCAAACAAGTTCAGGGGTTCTTTACTTTATTGCTCTCCTACTTCCATCTGATCTGTACCTACATTTCACCACTAGGCTGAAGATATCGGCTATCTGGATGAGCAGATCATGGCTCTGCACACGGAGATCGTGGAGCTTCAGAAGAGTCCCTACGCAAGGCGCCAAGGAGAGGTCATGGAGAGCTTGTAAGCCCTTTTCATACTATTATTGCACATCAATGGATTTTGTGTGTTCCAGGCTCTGAGTTTCCTGCTCCTTAGTTTTTGGGGACGGTGGCAAAGCATGCTGCAGAGCACTAGCTTAAGGTTTGATACAAACAGCCATGAGACACATGGATCCCAGGCGATGTCTCAGATTTACCTGATGGTGCTGGATGCTCTTTTTCTCAGTGTGGCAGAAGTAAAGAGCATCTCTCCCTCATCCTTTGGCTGTTACAGGAGTTTCAACATGGATAACTGTCCAGCGTGCTAGCAATGCTGACTGGCAGAAACAGCAGTGTGATCTTTTGAAAAAGTATTGGGGTAGCTGAAGCGGATGAGGAGGCCTAGTGAGGGCCCAAAAGCAGAGTCAGAACTGGCTGTACTGCTCCTTGTTTCTGATAGAGACTCGATTTCAAACAGTGAAGATTTGTTCAAGGGTGGAAGCTTCAGTGTTTGGCTGCTCTTGAAACGTTTGAAAGAAGTAGCATTGATTTAATGGGAAGAAGAGAAACACTGCCCTCTTGCTTGTGATGCAGTTCTCTCTTTCCATTCGCAGAATATCACTAAAATGCAGGGAAAAAAAGCAGAACAGGAATAAGAATTTCTCAGGCAGGTGTGTAGAAGAATTTATAGTTACAAAACCGAAGTTTTATAATTAAGGATACCATGAAAAGAAAACACAGCTGAGCCATGTGAGAGTTTGAAACTGAAAGTAACCTCCAGTTGGTATGGTTATCTGAGAAGAAAATGCATAATTAGAGGAAAAGAGAGACAGCTTTTAAGGAACAGTTGGTTTCCATCACAGAAAGACCGTTGCTGTGTTCCAAATGTCATAGACTAGCTGTAGAAGTGGCAGCTCCAATGTGCGCGATTCGGCAAGGCATAACTTAAATGCAATTTTTTTTTTCTTGAGTTACTTGCTTGTTAATATATGTATGAATCATCTTCTTCTTTTTAAAGGGAACAGAAAGCCATAGATCTGTACAAGCAATTAAAAACAAGACCTCCAGGTATGGAAGGAGCTGCTTCAAAGACTGTCTCACACTCATACCCCATGACTAATTTTTCTGAATTCAAACACAGAAAATACTGTTTAGGTGAAGGCACATGATTTCGTTAAAAGTAAACCAGGCTCAAAGGCATACCTCAAGTTGCCTCGTTTTTTTCACTGAGCCTGGAGCTCTCCCAAAATCTGTAGTCCTGTTCCATGTGTTTGTCTTTTGGTTTTCAGTCTTGGAGTATCTGCCCTGAACATATGTGCGCCTTCTGGCGTTCTCTACCTTTTTTTCCTGCTCCCAGTACTATTGCTTTACTCCCCCCCAGACGTGGAAAGAACTGCTGTTCCTCCGTCATTGATTCAACCCAATGGCAGTCTCTCTTCTCTCTCTTAATTACAGTGGGTGGAGTGCCATGTTTGGGGATTATTATGCTCAGAACATAGTAACTGGTGAGCAGGATGATTTAGTTGCTTGTGCATGTGGCAACTACCTGCAGCCCTTATTGAAGCCAATATCTAGAGAGCAAGAGTGGCTGGAATTGTTAACATTACTGCGGAGAGAAGACACGTGAAGGAAAAGCTGTGCCTGATAAGACATATGGCAGATTTTAAGATGTTTCCTTGTGTTTCGGTTTGTTTGGCTGCGATCATTAAGTCAAATTTCGGTTTGAGCCTGGGTATTTGTGTCGAGTGACCCCTCGCTGACAAGCATTTTACTCCTGTGGTTGGTGGCCCTTCCAGATCATGCCTACAGTGACAGCACAGATGTGGTGAAGATCATTGTGCAGACAGTACAGAGCCAAGACCGAGTTCTCAAGGAGCTCTTCGGCCATCTCAGGTATTTTATGCAGAAAGAAAACCCCAAACAAATGCAACTTGCAATATTTATAGCTTTGTAGCAGGAACAGAGAGGAAAAACTATGGGGATCAGAGCCAAAAACTCGGTCCACAGGTATACGTTTCTCCTAGCAGTTTGAATTCTGCTCCTTTGTGCCTGTGTTGAATTTCCACTTTTTAAAAACATATAGCTAATAGGGAAGGAGAGGAGAATGCGACACACTGGCTTGTACTGTTGGCATCCAAGAGTTTGCTTTAAAATGAGACAAATACTGCAAGTGTTTAGGTTGGCATTAAAATCTCAAGCAAACAAAGAAATAGTTGTATAACAGCTGAGACGGTACCACAACGATTTGTTCATTAATTCACTGATTCTTCAAGCAGCTGAGAAAAAAATGTCATTATGCCGATCAGTCAGCAAGGTCTGATTTAGTTTTATTTTTGTGTGCAGCTTATGCTTAGTAGATCCCATAAAGAAAGTTGTTAGCTGTGGTGTGTTCAGCCCGCAGAGACTGACGCAGGCCAGAGAAGATTAATAAAGCACCATGGTTGAGTTGCTGTGCTGTCGCTTGTCATTGGGATTAATTTTTTGCGTTTCAAGTAAGGAGACCTTATGTCATGTGTATTAATAGTGGTATTGTCTGCCTGCCTTTTTTTTTTTTTTTTAAATGGACTTGGAAAAGTCCAGTGGTCCTTCCAGTCTTGCGGGTTTTGTACCTACAGCTGTCATTTGCTAAGGGAAAGGAGCATTCTCACCGAACTTTTCTTGAATCTCCAGGTGAGACTTTTGCTTTTGCCAGAACATCTTGCCACACAAGCTGGAAAGTAACTTCGTGTTTGGTTTTTATTATAGCAAGCTCTTGGGCTGTAAGCAGAAGATTATTGATTTGCTTCCAAAGATTGAAGTGGCTCTCAATAACATTAAGGAAGCTGACAACTCAGTGATGCAGATGCAGGGCAAAAGACAAAGGGAGATATGGCATTTGCTGAAAATTGCTTGTGTAAGTAGCTTGTTGGACTATTTGTTTGCTCTTTCTTTCAGCGCAGGAGCCAGGGAGCATCACATGAAACTCTGAGGTGGCCAGGTGGGGGTGATTTCCACACAATGGTTGATTTTACTGCAGAGAAGGGAAGTTCGAGATGCTGAAAGTTCACACGGGTTTAGAAAGGGAGTAGTCAAATTAATGGGAAAGAAGCCTAGCAGGGAAGTCTTTGGTCCCAGTAAGTTACCAAACTGCATGTGCCTGGTTGCTGGAGGACAGTAGATAGGCCATGCCTGTCTTAGGTTCTTGGCTGCTCTTGGAGGACCTACACAGGGGACAGGTGAACTTCAGCCCTATCTGCTAAACCTGCTGTGATTTTAGTACTGCAAAAGCAAAGTAGATGCTTTCCTGCTTAGTATAAGGTGTTTTAAGGCTACTTTTTCTGCATCAGTTATAGCGACTGTACAGCTGAAGCGATCTTGATTTCCACGTTGCCTACATTCAGGGTCAGCAAAGGAAACAGATATATCTTTCCCCCTGTCAGAGGAGTTGCTGCTGTGCATGACTCACAGTTTAGGATGCGAAGATATGCCCTGTGCAACGTAGGTGACATACGTGCAGAAACATTTGGTCCCAGCCCTTTGCAGAACTGTGGAGAGTTATATTAGCTGGCTTGCCAGCCACAGGCCTGGCCTAGATTATGTGTATATGTTACAAATTGTGATAATGTTTAACTGCGAGTCTCGCATACAAAATAATTAAGCCTGACTAAATTCTTCCTTGATCTGTCACAGCAGATGAATTTCTTTTTTCTAGACTCAGAGCTCTTCTCGGTCGCTGGTAAGCTCCAGCCTGGAAGGGACGGCCTCAACTCCAGCAGCCACGTGGCTCCCACAGAGCTCCTCAGGGAACGTACCTCACCCTCTGTCATCTATGGCAACTCCTGAAGATGAGTAAGAGCTGCCGGAAAAGGAGGCCACTGCAGAGAAGTCGGCGTAGCTATTTTGTGTGCATACCCTCTGAAATCCTGTCCTCTGCCACTGGAGTCACCAGTGCTGAAGGGGCCTGAGGGGCATGTCTTCACCACAGCCCACGTGGTGGTTTTTCGATATGCTGCTGGACAGGGAAGGTTTTGACTGGAGTTTTAGTAACATAATCTCTGGCCATACAACAGCAAAATGCAGCACTGATATGTTACTAATGCTCTAAAACTCAGGAATTAGGTTGAACTCTTTATTCAGAAACGTTCGCTCTCTATTCTCGAAGAAGTTCTACACGGCACTCTCAGCTAAGGAACTGTGCTGTTCATTTCTTGCATGTCATGTTACCCTGTCCTGGGGCTGGATTTGGTTATTGAGGCCTTTCTCTCTCAGCCAGCCCTAGCAGAGTAGGAGAATTGTCAAGAGCTGGGGAGTTTATCTGTTTGCTTCGTGAGCATTTTTGCTTCCAGTCAATATAGCAGAAGGGAAGGCACCACTCAAGGCCTGCTCAACCCTGCAGCAGTGCTGGGTTTGTGGAGGCTTGGGTAGGGGTTGTGCACATCAAACCATTCAGACATCTTTTTTTTCTTTCGGGTGGTCAGGGACATACCTGAGTTCTGAAGATCGTAGAATGGTTTGGGTTGGAAGGGACCTTAAAGGTCATCTAGTTCCAAGCCCCCTGCCATGGGCAGGGACACTTTCCACTAGACCAGATTGCTCAATGTTTCTATCTCCTGACGTACTATGTTGTTTGGAGATTAAAAAAGCATGCAAGAAAGTAGTAATTAAGATACACATCATTTAAGCAGGCTTTTGCTGGAAGTCAGTTGATTTTTCTGAAACTCTGAGCCGCTTTTTCCGCTTCCTCTTTTCTGTCTGCTGCTGCGGGGCAACTTTTGGCTCTGTGTAATACGGAGTGTTCACCTTTTAGTAAGTGCTTTCCTAAGCAAGGTGCCATTGGATAACCTCAGAGCTCCTCTTTGAGCCATGACTTCACTGTATGAGGCACTGTAGAGAGAGTTAAGAGATGTAACCTTTCTGGGAAGTGGGCAGTGATTTCAGGCCCCTTGTACTCGGCTCATTCCCTTGGTTCTGTTAAGGCTTGTGTTGCGGTGCTGTTTGTGCATATCCACATTTCCAGTGTGGGGATCCACAGGGTGCCACCTCAAGACATGTTTTGGTGCCCTACAAGGGAGCTACTACAATTGCAGAGAACTCATATACATCATTTTTGGGGGTTGTCTGTTTGGATTTTTTGCGGTTTTGGGTTTTGTTTTTTTTTCCCCCCAGTGCAGAGCTTTTTAATGTTGGCGTTAGTTTGTGTTTGAAATCTGACATCTCATGCCTTTCCTGCAGGGAAAATTTTGTCCAAGTGATAGAAGAGAATCTGAATTACCTCGAACTCTTTAGCAGTATTTTGCAGGAGGTGAGACAGGAGCAGAACAGCAGCATGACGGTAAGTCCGTTGATGTATCTCTCAGGACCTGATTTTTGAGAGCCACAGCAGGGTCCTCTGTGGGGGTGTGAAGAATTCCTTAAATAGGGTTATTTGCAATGATGTGAATTGCTGCAGATGGCATATGATGTCTGTCATCCCTTCCAGACTCCAACAACGTGCCAGTCCTTAGGGAAGTAACAAGGAATAGAGGGTTGGGGAAATGGAGGTGGTTGATGAAATTCCCAAGCATTTACAGTTCCCGAGCATTTTAACGTTCTAATGTTTATGACTAATAGTAAACAGTTCATTGAGAGTTTACTGGAGTAAAGTAAACTAACTGGAGTAAAAAACTTACTGGAGTAAACTACTAAGTTATTTGGGATGGTGAAATGAAAACTTATTAGTGGGAGTTGGAGATGACACTGTAGTAGCAAGGGATTGAGCAATATGAATGGGAAAATGAAATCAGTTACTGATTAAGGCAATGTAATTATGTTAGTGGGGGAAACAGCCTTAATTATGCACACTCTGGTCTTTATCCATTGGTCAATGAATGTTCTGTTTGGTCATTTCTGAAAGAGTTGCTATCAGTTGTTTAATACAATCTTCTCTCCTGTCTTGTCTCCTTGCTGTAGCTGGAGATGAGCAAGAAGCTGTATGACTGGCTTCTTAGCTGTTAATCATCCATGTCTCTGTCCTTTCCCACATCTCATTCCAAGACGCAGCGTCTGCCTCTGGCATGTTGTAGCCCAGAAAGATCATTGATTGTAGTGGACAACACTCTGTAGATCAGCAACTGTTTTGTTGTGTTTGGTTTCTTTCCCATTTTTCTTGCCTCAGGGGTCAGAAGTTAGGCAACCTGAAAAGCAGCAGAAAATGGGATTGGTCCTCTTCAGCTCAATTTGGAAAAAACAGATGGGAAAAAAAAATGAATAACTATAACTTTCTCTGTTATTGCATACACTTGACTTGGAGCCTTTCTTTTACATTTGTATTCTTGCACTACCAGTATGTCCTAAGGTGCACTACGAACCTCAGTGGCTGGCTTTATGCAGGGACAAAATGTAATTTTCAAAGCCAGTAGTCTGGTATGCCTGAGCCCAGCAAGAAGTATGGGGAGGGCTGTATCAGGGGTGAACCGAGTCATGAAACTGCACGATTCCTTTTCAGCTGTTAGGTCACCGTAATCGTTTGAGAAAAGGGAGATGCTGCATACCGAGCATCATTTGGTGACTGCCTTGGAAATGCACATTCAATACTGTTTCCTGTACTTTGGTTGCTTCCTTGCTTCAGAAACACTGAAAATTTTCATATTGAGGGTTTAATGGTGTCAGTAGGGCTGGGACTTTTGGGTTTTGTGATGATCTTGAAGGTCTCTTCCAACCAAAACTGTTCTACGATTCTCTGATTCTTCTTTCAGAGTTTTGACTGGAGCTGGCTGAAATAGCCACCGGACTTGCTGCTAGATATCTACCAAGTGCCTGCGTGCGGAGAGACGACTTGGCAGCCTTCGATGCGACGAGCTGGAGGGGACTGGTTGATCAATCACCTTCTGTTTTGTAAACCTTAGCGATTACGTGGGTGGTGGCCAGTAGCCGA